TCAAGATAAAATGCATGGTCGAAGGTCACGTGACTTGAGTTGCTTCTAATTGGCCGATCTCACTTCCCGTCCATGTTAGCTACAGAAAGATCTCGGTCGTAACGTTTGAGTCTTAGTAGTCTATCAAGAGAGGCCCCCAACTTTGGTTCTAACCTGCCAAGTTTCGTCTGAATTCACGATGCCCAGCCTCGATTAACACCTTACCCTTCAGAGTAGAGGGGGGGGATAAGTATGGAAGCTGGGGAAATAGTAATTCCTCTCCATTCCTGAGAGCCCCCTGCGATGATCAAATATTACAGTACTGTTCAGACATAGCCCTCTAATCCTATATCGGTTGCAGAGCTGCTTAGACACGTAAATATAATCCTATGATGTGCCATGACGTCATCCACATCGTTACATCGCACGCTCTCAATCTTTCCCCGTTCGCACGAAACTGTAGCCGAGACTCTTTCGTATTGACTTCGGCAAGAGAAAAGGAATTTATGGAAATGGAGAGACAACCTGTTGAAACCGGATCGTGCCATATGCCGGCTGACTCCCGCTTCGGAGGAAGGACGAGGCGGAGGAGGGATCCTGGTGTTTCCCCACGTGGTTCCCGTGGAGGTTCCGACTGATGCACTCGATGTCGTTCGGTAGGGAATTCCCGGTCTTTTGCACCACGAGTATCGACGGGGGGATCCCTGTCACCTCCCCGACCCCGTATATCGCCCCTGGACGAGCAACATAAAGCAAAATTTTCCATGGGACCTCTTTTATAGTAAATGATACCTGGAAAGTTTAGTTTGCGGATGACTGGAGATGACATCAATATCCCCAGGGAAAAAAGCGAAAGAGAGGAAAGCCCAACGTGCTAAAGAAGTAAAGTACCCTAATCCTAGCAATCGGGTGCGAGAGTAATCCCATCAAGGCCAGTGTAAATCTGTTTGCTTCGTATTCTTCAAAGACCGTCATCTAATCAAAGTACCTGATCTGTTATTCCGGCTTCAAAGGCTGACGCGTATAAATGATGGCTTCTTTTCGGATACGGGGGAAGGATTTTTATGAGCTGCTCGAGAGGCCCTTTCGTCGAAGGGCTACACGCGACAAGACAGATGAGACTATAATGTTTGGGAATGAGGAGATAGGGGATTCAGCAGCGCAGGCCCTTTTTTTTGCGTCCAGATCTCGGGGCTGAGACCGACATCGAGTTCTATCGTGATCCGTTCCACTCTCGATGGTTTACCTGATAGGACCGGAATCCATGCGAGGAAGCCATCTGGCACAGAACCCGTCGATGCCTTCGACGAGGTCGCCGATGCACGAGTTATGTATGTATATTCCTCATCCGGCAGAAAACAGAAAAGGGAGAAGATGTGGCATAATCTAATCAGGCCTCGTCCGTGATCGCATTACCGCCGGCTTTCCAGGTATTGGATCGTTCTTGCGCGCAAGAGCGAACGAATGGGTCTGCCGAAATGCTCGCTCTTACTCTCATTTTCGTCCCATTTTCATCATCTTTCCTGTGATAGGGGTGAGACGAATCAAACTTCTTTTCGAGGGCCCTTGGACATCTTCCAACCGAAACAATGCGAATGACCTTGGCATATCCCGTGGTCCTAGCCCGTAATCACACATGATTTTTTTTTCAAAGAGGATTCGGGAGGGGTGAAGGGTGCCAAGCCCCCTTTCTCGAGAGTTTATCGTGTCATCCTGTCCATCTCGGAGTTTCCTTGGCAGCCCGATAAAAATCCTTTCCCCCTTCCTTCTCGTCTCCGGTGTGATAGCTGCATGCGGATCTCCCTCTTGACATTCCCCGAGGAGAAAAAAATTTCGATCGGAATGATAATGTCGTGCTCGCGGATCCTCGATACGGTCCTATTCCCCTTTTTCCCCCGATAAGAGGCTTTTTCTTTTAAGAAGTAAGGTTTACCGGTTTGGGCCTCGACTTGATCGCTGTGTCTGATCTCGAAGGCCGGTTCTTGATCAGGAATGACGTCGAGTGAGACGGTGGATTTCCCAGGCGGAACCCAGCGCTTCTTGTCACCTTCGTTCCCCTCGGGCCTCCTCCTCTCCCTCCCTCTCTTCACCATGATGCCGTAACAGACCAAGGCCAAGATCAATGTTCCTCCCACGCTTCCCAGTGCCGAGACCAAGAGAATCGTTCGAGGCTCCGGTGGAGACGGATCTGAGTGGGAGTGGAGAGAAAGGAAAAAGTTGCTAGTATTCTCTGCAAATAAAAAAAGTTAATATCTTCAGGGCACGGGGAAACGAAAAAGTTTCTCGAAAGGTCCCAGACGCAACTGACTGGAGAAAGATGCTTTCTCTCAGGGTCAGTGCAAGAAGAGGAAATATCGACGATGATATTTAGATCTCGCAATCGTTCACTTGATCTCTTGCGTCACTCTTAAAAAAAAAGGAAAAAAATAAAGAAAAATCGTAATCGATATAACTAAGGTGCGTTAAGGCAAGGGCAATTGCAACAGCTTCTGCTAAATAGGAATCAATATTCGAGAATTTTAAAATGTGATCAATGCATGCTTCGGATTGAATCGTGCGTCATTCGCAAAAGACAAAGACGTCATAGATCTCCGGGTTTTTCGAAATGCATTCTTCGTAGTCGCCTGATTTGTCTCGCAGAAGCGAATTGTGTGAGCAGTTTCCAATCAGACAATGATTCCTACCTTTCGCAGTTGAAAAGCAGCGAGATGGAAAAAACCCGACTCGCGATTTGAACGCTTCTGAAAGTGTGAAGGTGTTTACAATGGGTTCCGAAATCGATCAACATGGCGGATTAGAATTCAGACGGCGCCTGCTTGCGTGACTAACACGATGGCAAACAAGAACGCCACGACCTGAAACGCTGTCGTATTCATGAGGTCGCAAATGCAATCTCGACTCTTTTTGCCGGTAAGTGGCTTATTGCGTAATACCGTTTTTTTTTGTTGCAAAATTAATGCAACGCTTTTTTTCGCTCCTCGCATAATTCCAATCGCGACGATTGATAGAAGAAGCTAACTACATCACATCTGCCTGAGTCTCCTCTTTAATCTAATATGGACAGACGTGGCCTGGCGCTTAAAGGCCAATTTCGGAAAATCTGAAAACGTCTTCACTTCGCGGAGAATAGCGAATTTTTTGCTTACTCTCTCCTCGCGTCATCGTGTGAGATAATTAGGGGGAAAAGGGGAATTTATGACGATGGAAAGCTCATTCACAAGGGGAAGAGATGTCCTTTTTTTTCGGAGAGAGCCTGAAGCAGATAACCACAGACAGATTCACAGAATATGAATTTTTCTCGAAGGAAATGAAAGCCGCTGCATTCCATGTCACGAGACGAAATGCAATGAAAGGCTTTAGATATAATGCATTCTCAAGAGAATAATCAAACGCATGCGATACGTTTCACGTGGAAACCTTGTTTGCTTAAGGAATAGTGCCGAGAGAGAAGTTTCGCCAGAACCTGCAATGATTTCTTTTCCTTCCTTAAGGTAATGCAGGTCACGGTGAAGTCCGACTTGCGGTTCTACTCGAACACGAGCACTAATGCAATAGAAACGCTTTTCCTGTTCCAGAAGTATATTTTCCGTTACCTCTTAAGGGATTCTCCTCGATCGAAAGTTGAAAAGACCGGACAAATATTGGTTCCAAACTGAATTTGTGAGAGATTCCAGGAAATGCTCAATTATGCAGTTTAACTCTCAACAGACAAGATTATTGAGTCCCTATGGACAAACAGCCAGCAGAGCAAAAACCTTCGCGGCGACAGCGCTTAAGAAATTGGATCGCGGAAAAAAGCGGCTCGGAGCTCCTGCAATGAACCAGGAATGAGGAGCAATGACCTCAATGGCCTGGAGTCGTCTTTCCTTTTGCATTACTACGTCTTGGCTCGTTGGGTTGGAAGGATGGGATTCCTGTTACTCGTAAGGGTTACTACATTAACTCTGAAAAAAAGAGTTTCTTGAAAGAAAGTTCGATTCCTTCGCTTGATTACGGGCACCAGGCATCTCTGTATCGAAGATTGTTCCTTGTACCTTCATTTTGTCCGCATTCAAAGTCAGATGGATGAAGATTATCCGCTGCTATTATCCTTTTTTTTTACCGATCCATACTGCGTCACGGTCTCAACTTCAAGCGGTATCATGTTGAATGATATCCGCCGTCAATCGTTGCTGGGGGGGGAAGCCCGGAGAGTCTGGGCCTTCTGAAAATTTATCCTCTCGTGCTGATGAAGCCAATAATCGATAACGCCAAGGACGGACCGGAAGCAAAACTCTTCCTTGATTGGAAGAATCCCAGGGGGGGAGAAATAAACAGGAAAAGTGTGTTTTTTTCCCTGCCCCCTTCCCCTCTTCCTTGGCGATTCGTCCCAATGCCAGAAAATCAATAGGCATTTGCCACCTTTCCCCTAAACGATTCATATCCGTGAAAGTGGATTGAAAACAAAGGCGGAATTAGGACAACCGAAGAAGTGTTGCGTGACCCAGTACAGGAATCGATTAAATGTGCTTGCGCTGGGGGGGAAGCTTGCACTGCCGCTGCTGCTTTTGTCGTGATGGATGTTGCTCGGCTTCCCATCTCCCCTCATCCAGTTTATACTACTACGTCCCGGGGAGAAAGGTATTAATCATCCTCGTCAGGGGAAAGCCGTCAATCACAGGGACTCTTGTCAGCATGAGCACCTCGAGCATCCATCTTATCGCACCTTCTTACAAGCATCGACGACTACGGGTGTCTGGGTACTGTGGATCATATTTTCATTCGGGGTGTGTCGGCTTATTTGTTACGAATGCGCGATTTTTGCGATAATTTTTCCCGCTATGAATCGGAGAATTTACGTTCTAGGATATTAAAGTGCTAATGATTCAATGAAGCGTCTCATATCCAGTTTCCCGCCGTTTTATATTATATTAGTATTTCCGATTTATTAAAATTTTTTAGACCAGCGCAGAAATTATTTTTCGCATGGTCTATAACTACATATACAATAATATATAGTAATATATTACATATTACGACTGCTAATGATATGCTGACGTTGCATATGAAAAAACTGTAAACAACAAAAGCAATTCAAAATATATCGTGACCCGCAATATATACGAGCGACGTATACCGACAATGCAAACAGAAGGAGTGCTTACAGGAGGTGCCGGCAAGGGCCTTCTCGCCCATAAACACGTCCATGGAGATATTATCGCTGAACCCCTTGGGATTGCTGGCATAGAGAACGAATCGGTATTCCACGTCGTGCTGTAGGCCCTTCACGGTGAAGTTGGGCGTTTCCGCGGAGCGATTCACCAACAACGTCCTCGCGGGCATCACGTATGCCTCCATATGGAACACTTGCACTAACCCACCGTCGCCACCGGGTGCGCACTTGATGGTCACTGAAAACCGGTCTTCCAGTTTGCTGCTGCAGTTCGTGACTGGATCCGGATGCTCTGTTGGGGACAAAAGAAGGGGAGAAATTTTTGAAGATGCGATTCATCTGAATTTTTATTAATAAGGTTTCGCTGTTCCTGGCTTCATCTGGAAGGCCGACCTGGGCCCAGACTGAAAGGGAAGCCAATAAAGACGGAAGAAAGGAAGAAAGACGAAAAAGGAAAAAAAAAAGAAAGAAAAGAAAGAAGGTTGATGGATGAAGGGAGCTTGGCAGAACCTGAGAAACACTTGCTCCCTGCCATCGATTTGTAACAGAAACATCTCTGTTCCCATAATTATATACGCTTCTTTCTTCTTGGGAATCGCAAGGGTAGATGGACTCACCGGCCTTAACGATGTGGAACATGCAGGGAGAGGCCTGACGCCCGACACTATTCTCGGCCCAGCACTGCAGAGTCCCATAGTCGAACTCGGTCAACGGCGTGAATTCCAGCATGCTCGTCCATCCGGACTCGGTGAACTGGGACTCGGGGACCAAGATCGTCTCGGCGGAATTGTTGAATTTCCAGTGAAAGGCATCCGGAGGCGGATCGGCTTCGACGCGGCATTCCACCTTCGCCAGTTCCTTCAAGGAGACCCAGAGGACCTTGGATCCCCGACCCCCGCATTCTGGCGGATCTGGAGAAAAAAAAAAACGGAAAGTGCCTGATATAGCCGAGCCGATGATGAAGCTTCTTGTCCTCATAAGAAAAACGGAGGCAAGGGGCAAAGGGAAAGAGCGAAGAATGGAGACTCGTTAGGTTGTTTGATGGCAGCATGGAAGGAAGGATTCGGCATTCATTTGTGAGCCCCCCATAGAATGGGCTACGTGACATGTGAGGCAAAGCTCTCTATCCGAAGCATGGTAATGTGAGACCCACATCTCGGGAGATGTAGCAGCCTCTCATCCCTGAGCATCGATTTCCCGCAGGAATGTGTAGCGTATGCTCCCTATTGCACCCTATTGGGAAATCAATGCTCTGATTTTGCAGATAATGAGCCCGCTTACAAGAAAAGTTTATAGAGTGGAAAACTTCTGGAAGACCTTGAGACCCTACTATAGAAACTTCAGTAATGTACAGGCCAACAACTTTTTCCCCCTTCAAATTTTTTTTCCTGGTTTCTTAAATCGTCGAATTTCATCGACTCCCTTTATTCCTACGAGGACTTACACTGGATGCGAAGAGGTAGAGCAGCACTGTAGCCAGTGCCTTCGCCGTTCGTCGCCGAACAAGTGTAAATTCCAGCCGACGATCTGTTGACCCCTTGAAGGACGAGGGTCTGGTTCCCGACGATCACACCGCCCCTTTTATGGGGCATGAGGCTCGCATTCTGCAAGAGCGAAAAATCTCAGATGGACTCGGTCAGAGATATTCCCAGCATCGTGGGGTTTCTATCCCTCAGTACTTGAGCAAGATCGCTCCACGGAGCGATAATTCATGAATTATTCATGACCCGAGGGGGCCTCGGCTAGGGGAGATCTCTCCCTGTCAGACCTGGCTAAGGCCAAGCCCAGAGAAACTTGTCAGCGGACTAAAAAAGGAGTCGATATGGATGAGGACGAGAAGAAAGATGAACTACCCCGTCCTGGTTTCAATCCAGACTCACATTGTGTTTCCAGTCCACGTGGTAGGCTATCGGATTTGCTTCGACGCTGCACTCGAAATAGACGTCCTTCCCCACCGAGATGTTCTCTTCGATGATGCTTCGACCATATTTCAGCATCACAATCGGCTTATCTGCACGAGAAACGACAAGACGACTCTTCCTCTTTTTAAACATATTTTATATATGCTGATTTTTTTTTATCATCACCGATACTCACAGTGAACCAGGAGCCTCCTCCCTGCCTCCAGCGACGATCCCTTGGCCAATCTGTTATCTGCGTGACAGCTGAGATATTTCCCGTTGTCGGCCACGGTGGGCGTGAGAAGAAGGACACTCGTGGTCACATTCCCATCTTCGGAATGCTATCAACACGAAACAAGAAACAGTCCCAGCTGATTCTGATCCCGGCTTCTGGGGTTCCACACAATAGGCGGCAGAAGCGTTTATTCAAATGGATCATAATGGTGTCGCCCTTGGCTTCAACTGAATTCAATTTCCTTCAGAATAATGGAATATGTCCCCCGGGATGCTAGATGGAGTTGGATTCAACTTCCCCATGCATACAGACAGAATATAGAGAATGAAACGAACCACTTCGTTGGATCCCTGGAGCCACTGCGCGCCCAGCCACCACGAAATGGACGGTGGAGGCCGGGAACCCGCCACTTTGCACAGGATCTTCTCCTGCCTTCCAGCCGATAAGGGCTGCTCATCTCCCAGGATCCGAATCCACGTCGGGGGAACTGGGGAATCCGAGAAAATAACTTTCTATCGTGGAAGACAGCGGAGGTGCATATTACAAACTAACGTAAACATCGAAAACCACTTTAAAAATAAGCGTACTTGCATTCAGAGAATCTCATCCAGGGTAAAAAAAAGAGTCCTCACGGTTCATGTCGAGGGTAATGTGAGTGCTGACAGGCGTAGAGAGATTAGTGTTGGAAGCCTGGCAGGAAAATGTGGCATGGAGGTCGCTCCTTTTCAAGTCTGTCACGGTTAAATTATTAATCACGGTTCGTCCTGGAGACAGGGTATAGGTGTCGTCTATCACGAGACCATCCTGCAGCCACACCACTCCCGGCGGAGGACTTCCTGGAACATTCATGAGGGGAAGAAGGGAACGTCAGAGGGAGGGAAAATATTTATTTCCTCGTAATCTTGTGTGATGTCCATTTCCTCGCAAGCACTCCGGAACATATAGGTTAATACTTCTCTGCTCGGTTCTTCCGCCTGCATAACGACGGCTAAGGAGGCAGGGAGAGGAATGGAAAACGAGAGAAGAGGTTTGCTAGGAGTCTATATTGATGGAAACGAGGGGAAAGGGAGGGGGAGAAAAGGAATTGGAGGCATTTATTGGTCTCTCGCCTCCGGGATGAGACAGGCTGCACCCTCAGACTTAATTTCCTTGCCCAGCAGAATCGATCTCGCCTATGAGTGCGCGGATATTTCTTGCTGCACCTTACATGGCTGGCTTGCTTTTATTATCACTTATCAGGATACAGTTATCACAAATCATAAAGGAATGACGACGCCTCGGTGAAGTACACGTGATTAGGAAGGAAATTCCCTTTCCATATGCATTTAAATGTTATTACGCTGCCAACTCATGCATTCCTAAGACATGCTATCACGTTCCTTGTCAGCCGTTCGTGCGTTGACCGGTTTCTTCTGATTATCCCAGATGATTTCTGGGATCATCAGGATTAGACGTTGATGTGGGTGGGGTCGGGGAGCCTCTGATCTCCGGGCATAGAGCATTCATAAATACGGTACATTTCTTGGCGTCCCTCAAGGGGGAATTACAGGAGGAGGAACCTGGAAAAGATGAGGATTGATGAGAAGACGCAGCTGTGGGAGGCCTCGTTATCTTCACCCTTCCCCCCTTCCATCTTTCCGTCTTCAGACCTACTTTATCTTCATGTCTACATGCTACTTTACGCCTATCTGGGACGGATTCTTCGAAAATAGCATCTCATTTCCTTCCACCTCGTTATCCAGTTTCGTTGCCGGGGATGCCATAAGTGGGTCAATACTACCTCGAGTCAACGTCTTTTAAGTACCGACAGGCCGAGAGGCACTGCCAGTCACCTGGAAGAGGAGCGGAAAAAAGCGACTGGTGTCAGGCGAAAGAACTTCCATTAACGGGAATGTCTCCTCGCTGGGCGGGCCAAGTTTCTCATCCAGATTGGAGGAGAAGGAAGGAAAAGACTGGGGAGAAAAAGGCTCGTTAATTTCCTCGCCCTGTATCCTTCAATGCGATACTCCTCTCCTCGTCCTCGTCGTCTGAGAATCTCTGCTTCCGTCTGGGATATATAAAAAAGGGAGGGAAAGAGATACGGCCGACTCCTCTCGAGTGCCTCTTTAGCAATCACCGCCTCTCTTATCCTCATCCCTCCACCATTCTATCTTTTTTTCCCCCCTTGGTGATATGAAGAGGTTCGATCCCGGCTAATTCTGCAGAAGAATATTATGCGGATGCAGAAAATTGGGCTAACGCGATTATCCGCAAGTTCAGAAAAGGAGCAGGGAGGAAAATGAAATTCTGCACTCGAGACAAAAGTGGGATGGACTCCCGAAGGGACATTGATCCATTCCCCGGGGTCTCTTCTATATCAATATCTCTTCTCTCCTCTCATCTCACTGCCCCCGTTTCTTCTCGTTTCGGAGAAATGAAAAAAAAAGAACGTCTAACCGGCGGGTGAAGGGAGAAAAATAATATTAATGATGCATATAAGGAGACGTGGAGGAAGGGGGAGAAGAAAGAATCGAATTCCGATAAAGTTGCCTTTAGGAGCAAAGGAGGAAGAGATTGAAACGAGCAGGTCGAAGAAGGGAGATTGGAAGGAAGCGGGAAAGAGGAGGAAGCAGGAAGGAAGAGGAAGCTGGAGGGGAGGAAGCTGGAGCCGGAGGAAGCGAGAAGGGGAGGAAGCGAGAAGGGGAGGAAGCGAGAAGAGGCTTTCTATATGGAGACATAATGAAAAGACGTCGTTGATGACTCTTGAATGATGATAGATGCTCCTTGTCGGCGCCCCCTTCTTCTCGGGCAGGTTACACCTGATATCGGCTTAGGCTAAAATCGGTTTATGTGGGCCGCAAGGCAAAAAAGAAGAGGGCGGATGATGAAGATTCCCCCGTAAGAGGCATAGCAGGAATTCTTGCCCGTTATTCATAAAGGAGGGCAGCGTGAGCGAAAGTTCATCAGGATTCAGGGAACGTGGGGACTTTGGGGAGCTTCCTTCTCGTGACAGCCTCTTCAGTTTTTCCACTCCGTTTGACCCGAACCCCCATTGACCTAGCGTAGCCTACATATCGGGAATCTACCCACGTCATCACCCTCTCTATCCGTATTTGATGACTCGAGCCCTCTCTTGGTCCCTGATCCCTTCCATCGAAAGTTCGAAAACTCGGTTTCGCTTTCAGAGCAAAAAAATTTTCCGCGTCCCGTGAGAAACTCATTTGATCACCGGAGAGAGCCAGAAACTTAGATGGATTACATCGAAGGGCTTATAGATTCAATGGACCTTGCACCACGAATCGAGACCATTAAGAACGGTGAAGCGACCATTACCCCCCACAAAAGTGGTCATAAAGTTGATTCATTGTTTTTGACTCCGTCCTGAGCCCGGGCCAAACTCTTCTTTCTCCGACTTTTCTGACAGTGATATGATATGTTTCTCTCTCTCTCTCTCATTCGACCAACACGACGTGGGTGTGGAAACAAAAACGTAGGACGGCAGGGAAGTTCCCAAGGGTCTCATATATGGATCTCTTCCCATATAGAAGGGGATCCTTCTTCAAATTCAATGGAATTAGTGGCTCCCGTTGCCATCAATCCCACTAAGGTCTACCGTGAATTGACACTGACTCACCCGCCCTCAATGGGGAGCTTTCCTCTCTCATCTCCCTCTTTTTTTTTTTCTTTCCCGCCCTTTCGAAGGAAGAATGAAGACCTCGCGCTGCCATGCCCACTCAGAGACGAAGGAAGAGGTCATCGATAAAGGTACCAGTCGGCAAACAACAGCTGCCCCCGAGACGACCACATGTCGCCTCGACAGAAATCCATATCACGGCCCAGCGACCGTTCCCTGGCTTCACAATGGATCTGGATCGCGAGCTCGGTGATGCGCGATCATGAGCTTCGTCGGTATGGTGTATGAAGGGAGAAAATACTTTAAGCGAAAGCCCGAGGATCATTATTCATAATCCAATAAAATCAGATGCATAAATCACAAAATCCCTTCCGTGTAGAGAGGGGAAGTAGGATTAAATTAAGCCTGTACCTCTCAACCTATCTGGGCGACTCGACATCTTATTCTCCATAGGAATTCCGAATTCCGAAGTTTCGCCTGGGGAAACTGAAGATCGAGCCGCTGCCGGGTTAGGAGGTGATTTTGATCATCTCGAGACTGTTGTTAGGGTGTGTGTATGTTAATGAGGCTAGAATGGGGATAGGGAAAGGGATACGATGGGACTATAAAAAGTGGGATCCAGACCAGTACCAAAATGCATCTGTGCCTTTTGTTCCTTTATCAGATTGGGGCGATCTGCTTTTTTATGTGGCGTGCGAGAAACACTCGGCTTGCGAGCGAGCAGTTACATACCGGTTGGGAAAGAAGCAAGACTTTAGGCATGAGAATATTTCTGGATGATGTATTAAGGTTATCTTGGTCGTGGCACATAGACCTAATGAACCCGGATGCGTCCCCTGTGTCGTACCAAGAGTGGCGCCAAGATTCAAAGGAATATATATTTCCGCTTAAAGCTTCCTCCCAGAGCCTAAAACAACCTGGGATTCCAGGAGCTTCATTTATGCACGCAATTCCATAAATCACGGCTTATAATAGAAGTCTTTCTCCCTGGCACCTGAAAGCAATTCTCGATTCTCTGGGGGCTGTGGAAGCCCTGCCTACGTTCTGACTTGGATCAAGGGGATTTCCAGGTCTTCCCTCGCACTTGATTCCCTACCCTTTGAGGGGAACATTTGGAGCCCGGATGGAGAAGGGGTGGAAAAGGATCAAGGCGGAAACTGAAAAGCCGATTTCGGAGAAGATTATTTCCCATGTCGCACGACGATTGCTCTGATTTGGTTCTCCATTGTTTGTTTTTTGGCGGAAAATAAGGAAATTTTTTAATCGTCATCGCTCTGTAAACTTGTCTCTCTGTGTCTTGAAGAACTCTGTGTCTTGCGGGTAGCGAGAGTGGCAGGCTCCGCTTTTGGCGCCTCAGCCCCCACATCCCCCAAAAAAATCGATGAATTTTTTTTCAACGTATAGTGGGTGCATCTCACCGTTTGACACGATGCAGGACAGTTTCAAGCTGTTCCCTTCCTCCAGGGGACCGGCCACCGACGTGATGATCTTCCCGTTCTCCCCATCCACGATCACCGGCTTCGACGGGGGCACTAACGGCACGGAAATAGGAAATTCGGATGGAGAAAGAATCTCGATGGATGTGTCGGACTGTGTGCACAATCTCTTTTCCTTTGCTCTCGTTCCACAGAGAGCGTTTCCCTTCCCCGACGATTCGTTTACCTAATCGAAACGGATCTTAAAGAAGTGCCAGCCTCCATCTATCTCTTTTCCCCCGCTCTGTGTCGAACCCTTCGTCTCGTCCGGGTTTTTGATGAATTCATCTGCGCCCATGAAGCAAATTTGCCTTGATTTAAGAGAGAGGAATGAAGAAAAGCCCTCCGGATCTCGCAATGATATGAGGGTAAATGCGGTGGAAAAAGTTCCAGAGAGATCTGTTAGGGACTCCGATCAGCGACACGGAAAAAACGGAGGAAATATCCCCGGGGTCGCCACAGAGATGAAATGTTAATTTCACTCTCGAAAAAACCTAGATGATTTCAGCCATGAGAAAGCTGCATGATGGATCTCCGAGAGACTTCTTCGTATCCTTGCATCCTAAATAATTCCCAGCAAATTTCGCTTTTTTTTATTCCTTTGATCTTAAGCTTGGTTCAATAGCATGAAGACCCTTTTCTTAGCGAATATTTAAAAAATTCTCCCGTTGATATTGATACCACCAGATTCTGTGGGGCGGAAGGCTTTAGCTAACACCGACAAAGCTTGTCTGAATGATACTCCCTTCCCCATCGATCATATATGGGTGCCTGGCCTGAGGCTGGAGCTTAGGGAGAGGAACATGCTATAAGGAAAACATTAAGGGTATTAATTTTCGCGATTTCTACGTAAGTATTTCCACAAGTCGCGAATGTTATTGCTCATTATGCTTCATTAAGGGTACAAGAGCAACATACACTCGAGAAAGTTTCCGCTCCCGAACATGCCTCGTTTCGCAAAATCGCGAAAGTTAAATTTCTCGTGAAAGTCTACGGTGTCGTCTCGTGTTAATATTATCCCCTTGAGCCTCAGGACACGGGAGTTTACATCCCTGGGAGGATTTCGTTCATCTCCAGGATATAGGTATCGACGCTGCTTCTTTCCAGGACTTCAATCATATCGACATCTGCCTGGGGCTGAAGATAACCTTTCCTTCGGATAACCTTTCCTTCGGATAACCTTTCCTTCGGATAACCTTTCCTTCGGATAACCTTTCCTTCGGATAACCAGAGTTGTGTATGAATATCATGGTAGAAAGCATTGGATTCTTCTATCCTGTCTACATTAGCCAGATTAATTCTCTCTGTACGGTTGTTCCCATTTTCGAGACAATGTCGTACATATAATTTGTTGTTTTGGAAGTTCAAGCACTTTATTTTGGTTAGGTGTCTTCAAAATATATATGGGATTTTTTAAGTATAAAAAATTTCTTGGTAGCAATCAATATGCCTGCTAAATATCAGCTTTCCTTCTCAAAAACAACACATGGAAAAGTTTTCGAAGCATAAAATCTAGGGAACAGAGAGAATGAGATATATGACATGATAGACATGTTTTCCCCAAGAAGGCACTATTAGGGGTTAAAGGATAAAAAAAAAATACATTTTTCCACTTCAACAGATTCTCCATGTTTAAAGTGAATCTTTCTACAATTTTCCAAATTTACATTTTCTGTTATTTTAGGGAGTAGCTGATCCCTTTCAGGTGTGAATATTCTTCCTTTTCCATTAGGGATAGTAATTCCTCTCCCCAGCATTAAAGATAGAAATGCGACAGTCCCATGGACGTTCTCAGCCCCCTAATACATACGTAATGCAATCGACAGGCAGAAGGACACTCGAGCCCCTTGAATCATGCATCCTCCCTCCACCCGTCCCCATGCCTCGGCACCCACCGACAACCGTGAGATTGAGGAAGAAATCCTCGGCCGGAGCCCGTCGATAGTCGACCCTGCATCGATACACCCCAGCGTCGCTCTCCAGCAGCTGATGGACGAGCAGATGTCCCCGTGGCTCTCCCTCGATCGCGTGGAAACTCAGCCTCCGGTCTATCGTCCACGGGGTCCCGGTTCCGAATTCCACTCCTCTAGCGTCATAGCTATGCAAGAAAAGATCACGGAATTCTAAATCCCACATACCTTTGGCCATAGGATCTGAGATTAGTACGGGGGGAACCATCATCGTTGCAACCCAATTCCTTCTCAAACGAAGATGAGAAGGATTTCACGAGGGTGGCGAAATTTCTACCAGCCGTCAAAATGCCAATGTCTATCACAACCCTCCTTCCCGTTTTCAACTTTTATCTTTGATTATTTGTTCCTGGAAGAAGCCGTCAGCACCTTGATGTCACTTTGCTAGCTAAGTTCTCAATAAGAGGATATGTGTATCTTCTGATGTCTCGATCAATCTCGAAGACAGCATCCCATGGCTATCCGACTCTGTCAAGTAAGGACAGCCTGTTTCGGATTTAAGAATCTAAGAAAGCATAAGTTTCGCGGATTTGCTATGTCTGATGTGAGAAAGGGAGACCAGAGATCTCTTTACTCCGAGGAGAAAAGAACGGACAGCGGGAGATTTTTCATAGTCGCAGGATGGATGCCAACATTTTCCGGGTTATTAATGCCAAATATCCAGATAAAGCTAATCTGAATCCTCTTGAGAAGTGAGATGGAGGGCCCCCCCGCGGTATTCCACGAAGACTCAGGTGTCATTTAACCGTGGAAGAGGAAAAATAAAGATAAAAAAATCTTACCTAAGGCACGGGCAGCGACTTTGCAAGAGAAATATGATCTGTCGGAGCTGAGTCCTAATTGATTCGCAGAATTGCAGGAGTGGGAACCTATGTTCAAGAACCGGGCGGAGAGAAGGCTTTGCGGTAAAGCACGAAACGATTTCTCGGAAGCGATTGATAGTTCTCTTCGACAGGCTCTCTTCGAAATGGGTTCCGTGCCCCTTGGACCGAGACAACCACCTGCTCCTTTTAGACAAACGGAAGGTGGATTACATGGAATGCGGCATCGCATGGAGGCAGCTGGACCATCGCCGTAGTGGGCGGCTCACCCTCTCAGTTGTCACTCGGTTGCTCTTCGGGAGAGGATACGATAGGGTTGCCGTGCAAACCAGTGGTATATTGGGTCTGGGCTTGTCAGCTGGCACCTATGGTTATACGTTCGACCCTGTGATGACCTGGTGGTCAGTATTAACACCTGATATCCTCCACATTTTAAAGGTCTATTTCAGGTTTTTCTGCACTTTCATGATAGAGACAACTTCTTTTTTAAAACTTCATCACCGCTGAATTCGCGGAAATTGGACCAGGAATTGTTGCCATGCGGAGGGACAAACCATGCTGTAAGCTTGATTGTGGCTGTCAATATTTCATGAGAAAAAGCAGGGGCTCGAACAAGATTTTCACCTGAAAAATCAACTACGTGATCAGACAAGCTACGGGAATTTGAGATCAATATAGAGCAATGCTCAGCGCGGGTTAGAATTGAAATCTTGGAACATGTTCTTCAAGGTCGAGAATTATTGCGAAACGATTTCAAACGTAGTATGAAGAAACTCGCAGGAGTTTCTTCATACTACTCATACTGTGTATGGTGATTGATAGGAGTCCCCAAGTATTGACCGGGAAAATGGAGCCATCTTGATGGAGAGGGATTCAATTCGAGGATGGAACGATCAATCAGGAACGGGGAATGGAATGGAATCCGAGACGGAAAGAATACCGCCGCGTTTTTTGGGGGGTTGGGTTTTGGGGATACCTGTCTTTCTTGGGAAAACGCTCCGAGGATTGATCGGAAAGGAAAAAAAAAAAATCAGGAGGAAAACGCCCGGCTCCCTGGTTTCATCGCACGAACATCTCGCGTCGTTATACCATATATACAGGGTGTCCCATGAGTCTGGAACCATAGGGTAAAATAAGTGGTTCGTGATTTTTTGCTGCACAGAGTGCTCCATCACTCCTGACACCATTCGAAGTGTGATTGCTGACTGGATACCTCGTCTGCATTCGTGTATCAATCATAATGGTGGACATATTGAACACATTCTGTGAACACAAGTCGTTATCATAATTTTGCCCTATGGTTCCAGACTTATGGGACACCCTGTATATATATATATATGGAACCGATGCTATTCATCCGGGTTCTCTTTTTTTTTCCTCGTAACGATCGCGTGCTGGCGTGGCTTGACATTCGATTTGCTGGGACTTTTCTCGAACACGAACGTACAGTAATTGTGTTCCTCGAAGACAATCCCTAGCGGTAAGGAACGATCGTGCCTCGCCGTCGGCATTCGGAAGGAAACGAAGAGATCCCGTCTCGATGTTCCCCGAGGAACCTAAATATCCGTTTCGGCCAGGGGAATGGATCCGAGGAGATTCGAAAGGAAGACATCGAAGATCGTCGAGATCGGGGGAGGCAATTTATCGGTCGAGCGCTCCTCATTAGCCCTCAACTTAATGTCTTCGGACGAACGTACGCGATCGTGCCTGCTTCCCGGAAAGCCATCTTTTTAATGTTGCAGCTTCGGTCATATCGGGGGAACGTCGGGATGGGGGATTCCGTGCGAAATGACCCACTTATGCAAACTGCGACTCGCATGAATAATGCCCGGCCGGGAGAGGAGAAGCCTTCCATCTCTGTCTGGCCCTTGCCCGTAGCATTTCCACTTCTCTTTAATTTCCATCTTCTTTGCCGAGTCGAGATTTATTCCTTTATCCCTCGAAAGGCGCCTAGCACCTGATTCCGCCTCAGACACGAGGGAGCAGTACGAGATGGGGCCGTTTCCTCATCTCGGAGGGGAAAGACCGCTTCCATCCCATCTTTCTGGTTTGTGAGTTTCTAATGAACCCTGGTTGATGCATGCACTCAGGGATTCCAGCCATCATCTCCTCGTGCAGAAGGGTTTCTCCCCTCTATCGTCCTTTGCTTCAATATTCCGGTGCATTTCTCCGTCACTTGAAATATACGTCCTTCTCCTCCATTTCTCATCGTTTCCATGAAGCCTTTTATGATGAGCCTCTTTACCATCATGCGAATGACACGCTCTCGTTCCGACCCAGCTCCCGCATCTCCTCGGTCTAGCTCACCTGTAAATGGGCTCCAGGGAATCGTCCCGATACCAGAGGATGAGATGCGGTGCATCAGCGGGGCCAGGCGGGGCTAGATTGCAGGGGAGATCCCCCACCTCGAACAGCACGCCCTCGACCTGCGTCACGTTCCCTGCCCGGAAATCAAGATGCAACGTTATAGAATGCAACGTTATAATGTGCAACGTTATAGTGTGCAACGTGCTTCCGATGGCTCCCTTGGGACGAGGCATGCGGGGGGAGCTCGCTTCCGTGACCTGTTGGGGACATAACATAGTGCGTCTCGTGGGAGTGAAAGCCAGGCTTTTGGTATTAGGGGACACAACTTTTCGATTAGGTGCCGCCTGCGTCGATGAAGGGGGAGGGAAGGGTCTCCAGAGATTAATTTTTTTCCTTCTCTCCCCTTTCTCTCTATTCTCCGATCCTGTGTGACTGTGTGTCACGCCATCCTGGCAGGCAAC